GACAAGATGATGCAGGGGGAAAATGGTGCTGCCGCTGCTCCTCGCACTGCTGGCGCTGGCCGCCACACTCCCCGCCCCCGCACTGGCGACGCCGTCGGAGCACATAATTGCGTTCAACGGCTCTGCCTGGGGCCCTGTGGTGGAGGAGAGGAAAGCGGCGCTGGAAGCGGCCATCGTGTCAGACGTTGACGCCGTTTTGAAGCGCACGTTTGTCTTCGACACCAACACCACCGTCAACTCCCTCGCCGCCAGTGGCGGTCTGGAGGTTCGCGTCACCGTGCAGCAGACGCTGCTGCCCGACGCCCCCACCCCGAAGCTGCAGAACCACTGGGGCCCGGAGGAGGTGAACTCGATGATCACTCGTTCAGGCTTCCCCGCGACGCTGGCGCTGTACCCGGGACCGGGCAAGGCCGTCCTCGTCAGCGCCTACGTCCCGGGCGAAGGAGAGGACGATCTTTGCGTGCACGGGCATCTGCAAGGGCATGATCGTCATGGGTGTTGCGGTGTGTGCGGCGATGGTTATTGTCTTTCTTGTCGTTATGTGCTCCATGTGCTGCATTTGTTGCCGCCAGAAAGAGTTTCACCGGGATGTGGCCCCAGTCTAATTGTCGCAGCCCGTTCCTCACCTAATGCGACAAAACTAACCCAATTGAGTTTCAGCCCTGGTGCAGTTGGTAGAAAAGTGTAGTAATACTGCGAGGCGAATCACCCCCTGCAAATTTATATGCGCAACTACGTCAGCCTCACTCTGCGAAGTGGTTTTATTTGTTTAGGCTTATCCGCGTAGAATCCGCAACCCAGTGAGGGGTTAGGGGAAAAGAAATTACTTCGTATTAAGTTCTATTTTGTTTTTATTTTTTCTGTGGTTGGTTGTTTTCGTGAGAGTGGAAGTGGGGGCACGGCAAGTTATTCTCGTTGCCTGTGCGTGCGTGCATTTGTCTGTGTGTGTGTTATTTCTATATTTCTTTGTTTTTGGCCGTGTAGGCAATTGGAGACCGCCTCGCGCGGCGGCCCTCGTCTAGGGGCGGAATTGTGGCCGGTGGCAGTGGGACGGCTCTGCGGCTCTGCGGCGCACCGGGGCGGTGGGGGGGTGTGTGCTTCTCCCCGCGCCCGCCGCGTGCGGCTGTTGATGTTTGCGGCCGTCCTTGTCCGTCCACCTTTTGCACCCGCCCCTTTTGCCTTCTGCCGCTCGCTTTCCCGCGGGGTGGAATGTACAAGGCAGTAAGAAAAGGAAAGACATTCCCACAGCTGTGCCACAGCGTCCCCGCGACGACAAGATGATGCAGGGGAAAATGGTGCTGCCGCTGCTCCTCGCTCTGCTGGCGCTGGCCGCCACACTCCCCGCCCCCGCACTGGCGACGCCGTCGGAGCACATAATTGCGTTCAACGGCTCTGCCTGGGGCCCTGTGGTGGAGGAGAGGAAAGCGGCGCTGGAAGCGACCATCGTGTCAGACGTTGACGCCGTTTTGAAGCGCACGTTTGTCTTCGACACCAACACCACCGTCAACTCCCTCGCCGCCAGTGGCGGTCTGGAGGTTCGCGTCACCGTGCAGCAGACGCTGCTGCCCGACGCCCCCACCCCGAAGCTGCAGAACCACTGGGGCCCGGAGGAGGTGAACTCGATGATCACTCGTTCAGGCTTCCCCGCGACGCTGGCGCTGTACCCGGGACCGGGCAAGGCCGTCCTCGTCAGCGCCTACGTCCCGGGCGAAGGAGAGGAGATCTTTGCGTGCACGGGCATCTGCAAGGGCATGATCGCC